AAATAATACGGATATATGTTTCATGTTACCGTGTGTGTGACAACATATTAAGCTTATTGATTGGTTTGCGAACTTGAAGTCCAATCCGTGAATTTGTTAGAATTAAGGCTGTGAGATTAACGACTTATATGGTGTCGCGCCTATTTATTCTGACTGGGTTATGCTTCATAAACGCGATCGTTATGTCCCAGTTCAAAGCCGATCCAAGTGTGTCAGCTACTCTCAGTTGGTCACTCTTCGTGTATGGCGGTGTGATCCATGTTTATGTTATCTTGATGTATGATGTACTAGTGAACCCTCGTATGTTCTGTCATGACATGGTTTTACCCACCTGTAGGTGTTCCTGTGGGCAACGATGATTACGGTTGTACATGCATATTGTATTCTGACCCGTGAATATGATTTCATAGTGTTCAATGTGTTGGTGTCAATAATGGAAAGAGCCTCGAATATGTGTTAGTCTAGCGATGTATGTCTGTGTATGTGGAACATGTATGTCTTGTGTATGTGTACAAATGTATGTCTGTGTATGTGTACATGCTTATGTCTGTGCTATGTGAACCGCTCAACGATTGATACTGTCAATGGTTGCGTATGTTTAACGTGTGATAAGTCATGTGATAAATGCTGTACAAGTGCTAAGCTTCGGAATATGTTGCTGAAATGCCTTTATGTGTACGGTGGTGTACATGAGCTATATAGTCTGGAAGTGTATGTGGTGGTACGCTATGAAGATACTATGATCTGGTGTATGTGTACATGTGTGGATGTGCTCTGAATGGATCTTGTCGTGGAGTCTTAGCAGATGTAACTGGTTCTTGTGTAAATGTTACAATGGGTATGGTCCGTGTGTGCCTGATGGGGGCCTGTGTACATGGGTATGTGTGTTGGAGGATTGTGTACGTGAGATGTGTACATGTGATATGTAGGCTCTGGTGAATATTGGTGTGTTACATCTAAATGGTCTGGTTTTTTTTTTAATTTGGGAGCGTACGAAGTCTATGTCTGTGGTAATGGTGTGAGTGAGCATCAAGTATTTCTGTAATGTATGTGTAACAGTTCGGTTCATTGTTTGGTAAGTTATTTTTGACATCTTATGTGGCATCTGCCGTATGTGTACATCTATGATCGTGTGGAGAAATTATTGGTAGTTTTGTGTATCGTTGTAGCATCTAGTACATGCCGTATATGGTTATCATCTAGTGTGCGTGCGTGAGTGTAGGTACATCTATGTCTGCGTATTGTACATTGTTACGGTTGGCGGTTGTATGTCACATTTGTACGTCTGCGTGATGTTAAGTACAATAAGTACGTCAGCTGCGTTATGATGTACAAAATAGTACAGTTCTTGCGTATGTGTACATGTACGGTCTGGTATATGTCCGTAACATGTACGTCTCGCGGGTGAATGTGTGACATGATGGCTACGTACTGCGATATGTGGTTAAAAATGTACGTGGCGATGCGTAATGGATGAGGTGTACATGTACGTCTGCGGTATGTGTTAACATGTACGTAACTGCGTATGTGTACATGAATACGGTGGCTGGCGTAGTGGTTTACATGTATGTCTGCGTATGTTATTCGCTATGTGTAGCATGGTATAGTCTGCTTATCGTTGTACGAGATGTCCTTAGCGTATGCTGTACATGTACGTCCTCTGCGCCTATGCTTGTACATGTTTATGTCTGCGTCATGTTTGCTACATGTATGTCTGCGTATGTGTACATGTATTGTCTCCGTATGTGTACATTGTATACTCTCCGTATTGTGTAACATGTAATGTCTGCGTTATATGTGTACATTTGGTACTTCTGCTATCATGTTACCTAGTATGTCTGCGTATGTGTTACGATGTTGGGTGATGTCCTGCTGGCCGCCATGTGCTGTACATGTAAATGTTTCGGTGCATGATGTTGTACATGTATGTCTGCGTATGTGTACATCTATGTCTCGCTCACCTCGTGTACAGTTATGGTCTGCATATGATGGTGAGCGAATGTATGTCTGCGTATGGTGTAACATAGTATGTCTGCGTATGTTGTACATGTAGTGCTCGTTGTGTACATTGTACGGTGCTGCGTTTAATGTGTACAGTTGTATGATCTGTGCGATGTGTACATGTATGTCCTGCGTATTGTGGTTGGTGGTACAATCTATTTTTGGAGCTGGCGGATATGTGTTACATGTCGAGTGTGCTCGTATGGTGTACAGTATGTATGTCTGCGTATGTGCACATGTATGTCTGCGTATGTGTACATGTATGTGCTGCATATTATTGTGCACATGTAACTGTGTGTCCTGGCGTATGATGCAGCATGATATTCTTGCGATATGTGTACATTGTATGTCTGCGGGTATGTGGTACAATGTAGTCGTAGCGTAATGTGAATAGCAGTGTGGATGTCTGCGTATTGTACATGTATGTCTGCGGTAGTTGAGGTTACATGGATGTCTGCGCAGTATGTTATACTCATTGATTGTCATGCGTTTGATGTGTACACTGGTGATGTGCTGCGTAGTAGTGGATAGCAATGGCTATGTCTGCTGATGGTATGTACCAGTCAGTATTCTGTTACATGTGGTATGTGGTATAGATGGTGAGAGTGATCTGAGTAGATAGTGGTGACATGGGATATGTGCTGTGATGGAAATATGATGCACATGGTATGGCTGTGTAATGTGCGACATGTCTCTGTATGGTGTATCGTGCACATGTCTCTGTGTATTGTGGCACGGCATGGTCTTCTGTTGTGGATGTGCACATGTCCTGTGTGGTATGTGCAAGCATGTCTCTGTGTATGTGCACATGTCTGTGTATGTGCACATGTCTCGGGGTGTGTATTGTAGGCTAGTGTGTGAAATGAAGTATGTATAAGTGTGTGTGTTGTGTTTAAATGCGTTGTGTTTTCAAATGTGCAACATATGTTTATTATAGTTTAAATGAGTTGTAGTTATTCAAATACATGTGGATGTGTAAATACATTTGCAAATTTATATGACTGAATATAATTTTGTAGTTGTATATGTATGCATTAATATATGCTGTACACTGTTAATGCTAAGGGGGGGGGGGGGGGGAGTAGTAGCAGGTAGTAATAACCGCAAAGACCGCATCCCAACTTAACAATAAAACAATACAGCTAATCCTTTAAAAAAGTTAGTTGTAGTGGATAGGATGGATAGAGACAGAACAACAGACAGACAGACAGACAGACAGACAGACAGACAGACAGGACAGACAGACAGATAGACAGATAGACAGATAGACAGATAGTAGACAGATAGACAGATAGATAGAAGATAGGAGATAGATAGATAGATAGATAATAGATAGATAGAATATAGAAGTAGATTAAGGCCACTAGGATAGAAGATAGATAGATAGATAGATAGGATAATAAGATAGGAATGTACGAAG